GAGAGAGAGAGCGAGAGAGTACCGACAGCGAGGGGAGATTTGCACTCTCGCCGCATAGAAAGGATTAGATGTCACACAATCCTTCACGCTCTCCCTCATTTGCAGCGATAACGACTGTATATAGGAGCATTGAAATTGCACTTCCGGACGTATGTTCTGAGTCTATTCTAACATTACGACCCAAAGTAGCAAGATTTTCCAATGGGTGTTATTCAAGTGTAGGGTTATTACGTGGCCTTATCTACGGCATTCATTTCCGGCACCGGCTCCATTTCACGCCATCGAGGCGCCACTTAGGTTTCTCCATATGCTTCGCCTCTGGATGACGAAATTTCATGCGGAAAGCGATTAAAATGGAATAGGATGATTCAGGCAACAAAAAAAGGAAAACTTATCAGAAGGGTCACCAAACAGCAGTCGCGGAATGAAAAGAGTGGGTTTAACCTGAGCTTGACTCCCGTGGCGGGTCTCTGGCAACATTGTCATTCACTTTCGAGCCGTGAAAGTATTAATTACATTCACTGCGATTGCTGAGGTGTATTGTGCAAGAAAGGGACTCTACTCCCAGGTAGTAGCAGAAAGTGCTTTCAAGTATACGGGAATGTGACAAAAGAACAGTGAGTCGCCGCTCTGGCGGTCGTGCCTAGTGATTTCGCCTGCCGCATGCGGCGAGTGGATACTTCGCAAACGCATTTACACCTGTCCAGTGTCATCCTTAACCTCTAGTAGCATACTCAAGCAGAAAAGAGTCATGGAGTCAGAGAAATTAGCCTTTTTCGCCCTATAGGAGATTCTACTCGAATTACCGCACCTGTTGCCGCGGGATGCGCAGTGAGACAACTTACGATTGCCTTGACGGTCTCCCGGGTGATATTGATATCAAGAGCAAGCCCATACTGATAAGGGGCTTGAACGGAGCATTGTCCATTTGAGTTTCTTCGTCCACAACGGTAACGAGGGGGTGAGCAGCAATGAGGCAGGTAGAATGATTCTTCTACTGCTCTTGCCTACGCTCAACGTTGACTGCGCCTTGAAGCCTTTTCCATCATAAGGCTCCCAAGGCTGCGTGACTGAAAAATGTAGTTTTAAGCGTGTCTCTCCGATTTACTACATTACGTCTGGACCGCGGTGGAATACGCTACGCATGTCGAAGAGCATCGAAATTGCACAGATTGTAAGTGCACGCCATTCTTCCAGCAGAAGAAGAACGAAAGGCAGTGGATATTCAACGGTGAGCACTCATTTTCTTGGCTCATTATTAGAGGTTTTTTGATAGGCTAATTTTTGATTACGCTGGTCTGCCTTTGCGGCATCTAGATCTAGACAATTGTTTTCGCTGCAGACTCTGGGGCGCTCAGGGGCTGGGTTTAGCGCAGCACCGACCTTTTCGTCACAAATTGTAGCGACAAGCAACAACAATTGGTGGAAAATGGGCTGGCGCTGCGCCTAACCCAGCTCATCACATGCCACAGCGTCTGTTGCGAAAACGACTGTAAGCGTGGACAACTCCTCCTCGTTCCTTTTTAGTGCTGGACGCAATGGGTAAAGTACCATCAGGAATCACAGGCGGAAACAATCTCTGGGTCGGATCATGGCATACTTGCAGGAAAATCCATGTCGTTAAAAACAATCAAGGGTAAGGAGTTGGCAGCCGTTATGTTAAAAGATACGGTAGTGATGGGTTTGCAGCCAAAAATGGAATGGCCAATATTGTATGGCACATTTGGAAGCCTACGAGCGGAACAATCCATTGAAAGCTCTTCAAGCAAGTGGACCAGTCGACTCTCACTGCTTGTGAGTTACTCCTTTGCGGATCGTAACTTCAAAAATTTACCTTTGCAATGTATTCTTAATATTTTTTGTGGCTTTTCCTCCTTTTGGTTAGTTATTCCTCATCTTCTCCACACGGGATTTCGATTTCCCCAATCTGAACTCCTTCAAGTTCCTCCACTTTACAGTGCAGGGAGAGTGGGTACTGACATTCTTGCTGACTTACCTGTTGCTTCAGATGCAATATCCTTCAACAAAGATAGGCAACATCACCTACTCTCCAACCTCTCCTTACCTCCCATTTTCAAGAAAAGAAATTGACCCAGATGGTGGGCTCTCCTCGATCAAAGCTCAGCCAGAAGGGCCTCCCGGTGCTGAGAAGAATTTAGGCAAAGTTTGACCCCCCCTCCCAACTTCGCTCCCTCGGTGTGACCCTTTCCCAAGCTACACATCGTCTTACCAATTTTTTCCCTGGAAAAGTTTGCCGCCAAGTGGGGGGCAGGTGTGGATTGACATCTGCAATCAGTTACCAGTATTAGTAGTTCCGTGACACCGACACCTGTGGGTGAGAGATAAAATGCGAAAATCCAACAATCAGAAAACGTCTTCTCATAGCAAAATGCAACTCCCTCCCCAGCGGATAGATACTAGTTCTTCCCCGAACTTTGGGGATCCTCGATCTGCTCTAACAGCCAACCAACATGACCCCTTTCAGAAATACTCTGGTTTGGTCCCCCTGAAAAGGACTCCTTGATGATTTCAGTATGATGTGTTTTGCAAACTGCGGCATCTGGTAACACTAGGAGCCTGTGAAGAGGTCGTTCTTGTAAATCTTACTCGTTACCATAACATGATTACAATCAGAACCGCATTTGCTGAGAGATACTCATTGTTGAAGAATTTCCTTTTATCTTATTGTGAACCTTGTTTTGATTATTGCATAGATGACTTTTTCCTTTATTAAAAGCTTTTTTCAGCCACAAGGCAAATTCGAGTGTAGAGGAANAAGACGATGGCCGGTAGCTTCACATGTTTCACGCGTTTCCCGATGCTAATTTCGAGCTGTATCCAATACTGCTACAGACTATGACGTCACTCGAATGTAATCCTTCGGTTGATTTTTGCTCTCTGCCGATGTCTTGCCCATATACTCGTCACTTCAGAGAGATTCCCGGCGAGGGGGGGGGGATTTAGCTGGTCGGAATGCCCCTCGCAATCGACAGCGCCAGAATAGCAAACACCCGATCTGTAAAGAAGCAGCACACATCTGAGCAGGCAGGCCCGATGTCCCGACGACGGCTGCGTATTGCAAACTCTCCTTTCTTTCTAAACTTTTTTCTCGTTAGCACACTTCTCCCTTTAGAGAGTAGGGGGTCACAAATGCGGGATAGCACCACAGTATTCCCAGTTAAATCGCCACATTAGCGCGCACTGTTTTATATAGACTCAGTACGAAGTGTTATAATACTCCCCCCTACCCTCAGAGCCGAACACCCGCCCATTACAACTCGATTAGCCCCTCTTCTGCTTCTAGCTGAGCTCACCGAATCTGTTGGCTATTTTCACTGTTCGCCTAGCCGAAAGTGCAGCTGGTAGGGAAGCCGTTTGCAACGTGAATGTCGAATGTCGTCACGAAAGTAAGGAGAATGCGATGAGCAACAGCTGGATGCGAGCACGCTGTAAGCTACTAACCACCCCCCCAGATTGATCGGGCCTTCAACGGCTCTACAAGTTTCCTCTCTTACTGAGTCGATTACAAATATTTAAGGTACTTTTTAACGTTCACGCTGATCATGATGGTGTTCGGAACTCTTTATGACCTGTTCATCCATCAACCAGAGCTTGACGTCCTGCCAGCTTCGGAGCGGCGAACAAACCGTTAGTCCTATCAATGCGCTTCCTAATATCTATTTCTAGCATATTTTCAATGGTTATATTCTAAAGGCATAGTCCGTGGTCCTGTGGGCGAAATCATGTAGAACATTCCTTGCCGGTGGGAGATTTTTTGTGAAAACTACTGAAAGTCCGGCTCTTATATTTTTTCTAGTTCAAATTTTTCCACACTTCGCGGACAACTGTCTCGAGTATGTATGTCGTTGCGCATGTAATGGGAAAGACGCGTGAGATCAGCAACCAAGGGAAGATGCTTCTCACTTCGAAAATTTCCAGAGCAAAAAGGCTCAAGTATGCTCCTCCCACCCCCCCCCACCTTTCCCACTCCATTGAATTGCCTAGCGATGAGAAACAGAAAATTCGATATGAAAGTGTTCTGTAGCTAACAGCGCACCCCACCCCCCCCATCCGACAATTCGAGCTTAACAAAGGACGGCTGGACTTCCCCAACGTACGACGTGCAATAGACACACATTTTCTTCTCATTGTTTATCCTTCTGAGACGATAAACACTAACAGGGCACACTGCTGAGCAGGGTACAATCAGGACTCGCCCTACGCTGGAAAATCCTCGATGAGTCCTTGGTCTCTCCCCGAAGGCGAAAAAGTGGGGCGTAGCTGGCTTATGGAGAGTTTTCCCAATTTCCTCTCCTGATTTTTCCTGTTTTCGCGCGTTACAGTGCAGTTCTCTGCGGACGGTGGGGCGGTCCTTAGGCCACGCTGGCTAGCGGCCCGATATTTGCCTGTTGGTCGAAAGCCGCAATAACCTTGCCCCTGCGTCTCTGACACTGACTCTGCGCTCTAACGCACGCCGCCGCACAATCTACCCACTCTCCCGCTCTGGGCTCTCGCCGATCAATAATGCCCCAGCTTTTGCGGCACTTTCGCAGTATTTTTCTCTACATTCAGCTTGAAAAAGCTGAGATTTTTTGACTCCAACATTACCAAAAAAGCGGTTCGCTATAAGAAGACGAGAACAAGACGCAGATTTGAGGACAGAATCCAAAAGAAAGAGAAAAAAATAGTCAGCAGGGACACACCAATTTCAGGAGAATTAAGGGAACCACTCAGGCTCTGCGAGCTTCATAAATGAGCCAGAATTCTCGATAATAACGAGATCACTTCTAAGACACTACTTCGAAAACCCGGTCAACAACATAAAATAAGTGGGAACAATAAGGAAAAGTTCGGACGAGTTGAAAATTAGAAGGAAAAATATGTTTTCTAGGGGAATTTCAAGCTAAATTCATGCAAATTGTGATACAATTTTGATAAGAATACCCACCTTCAACGATTGAAGCCGAAAGTCGAAAAATCTCAGCTTTTTCAAGCTGAATATATGCAGAATCGGAGAAAATGCGGCAGGAATCAGCTGATCGAAGCGTCAGCCATTATCGATCTGGCGAGAGTGTCAGGACGGCAGAGTGCAGTAAGGGCGCGCGGGATGTAGTTAGAGCCGCAGAGTCATCTCAGAGACGAGGCGAGGCTAATGATGATAAATTCCTTACAATTCTCGGCTTTCATTTGGACACGCAATCAGCGGAACACTCGCGCGTGCTTCGTAGGACGCCCCACCGTCCGCACGATGCGCTGCTGTATCTCTCCTTTACTTTTGATTTATGAACATTTTTTCTTTTAATCCTCCCCAGTGGCTTACTGCTGCAAACCACTGTTTCATGTAGTTGGTCGGCAGGCGTTACCTCCCTCCCACTCCGGATCTTGAAAAATTCTGCAAAGCATAGCAGGAGAGGGGGGTCGTACTGAGGTAGAGGTTCGGGGCATTGTTCCCGATGCCATTATGTGCCCTGAGAGCACCCTAATTTCTCGGTTTATATGAAGATGCTGTACTGTGCCAACAAGTAGGTTTGGTCTTTAAAAAACTAATATTTTTGTAGCTAAAATATCGGTATTCGAAAATCAGTTACACCATTTGAGATTTGTTCATTCGAATAATTCTGTCGTACTCGGTCTATACGAACGGTCTGGAAATTCTCCGCACATCAAAGAAAGATGTTAGTTTCCTTTAATTCTAATATGAACTGCAACCCTGTTCTCCCACTGGGACAAACTGTTTCAGGGCGAGGTCAACTGCCTTCATGGAGTTCGCTTTCTCAGTATGTGCTGGATTATACTTGGACACACTTATTACTACATAGCAACGAGTCTCACATTAGGTAATTGGAAACCTCTTTTTAGTCAGCTCAAGATTTTAAATAAGACAAGTATATGATAGCATCGAACTATCCCTGAGCCTCATGCGTTATGCGTTCAACAAAATTCAATGAGTACTCGAAACACAATTTTCATTGGTAAGCTTTCGCTGTGGTAACAGCTTCTTCAGACCTCAAATAAAATAAGCATACATAGCACTACAAATCTTTACAACAATAGAGTTGGTCGAAGTACTAACCAGACTGGAGTCCTTCTTAACAATAAAGTTGCTAAGGTCTGTAATACAATACACTCAATGCCTACAACTGATGACAACTACACTAAATACTAACGACCTACCCCAGTGACACCTCCAATGCAACTAAAAGTGACTAAGAATGCGACGCGCTGACAATTGCGAGGACATCCTTATCACGACCGCTATGCAATCAGCCTCATTGCCTCCATCAGCTCATCCCTGTTGTTTATTTCGGGGGATAACCGCTTGATAGCGATCGCTTCAAGTAACTTCCTTTCCAATGGGCTATCCTTCGAGCGGTGCAAAACCGTCACTTTCAGGCGGGGAGGTGCTTCATGCTGGTGAAACATCGTACGATGCCGCGAAAATCCACTCTGGGGGTAAGAGGAGGGATTTCGCAAAGCTCGTATGTGTTCATCCATCCTTTTGTGTAAAGGTCGCATTGTTTCACCAACATATCTCTGATTGCATCCTTCGCATGTGACCAAGTAAACTGTCCCACGTAACTGGCAGATTTTATTTTCTGTACAGTATAGACATTATATATAGTAAAGAATTAACAGTTCTTGTAATTTCTTATTAAGTTCCATGCTCT